GCAGAATGCAAATAATAAAGAGTGTCATTCTTGGAGTGCAAATTTTCTGGACTTCCTGCTATATATTGCCTTCTAAAGTCCTTCAAAAAATTGATGATCTCTGCAGGGATTTTCTTTGGGGCAAGGCTGATCATAAGTTCAAAGCTCCGCTAGTCTCTTGGGATAAAATCTGCACAGGGAAGAAGCAAGGAGGCCTTGGTATTTTTTCAGCCACAAACTGGAACTTGGCTACTGCTATGAGAACTCTATGGTATGTGCATTCTAACAAGGAACTTCTGTGGATTAAGTGGGTTCATGGCACTTATTTAAAAACCTCAACCATTTGGCAAGTTGAAAGTAAAGCTAGTGACTCATGGCTATGGAAACAGTTATTAAAAGCAAGGGATAAAGCTGCAAATCTTTTTGGTGGGACTGATAACCTCATTCAGAACATCAGGTCGTGTTATATTAACTCCAGGATTCACCTTTCTGGCCTGTATAAGCTTTTATCCCCAGTAAACATCAGTGTTCCTTGGTCGGATACTGTCTGGGAGGTTTTTAATCTTCCTAAACACTCTTTTATTTTGTGGCTAACTATTCAAAACAGGCTACTCACAATGGATAGATTGATCAGAAGAGGGATCATTCAATCAAATCTTTGTTCCCTGTGTGAAAGAGATGCTGAAAGCCATTCGCATCTGTTTTTTGATTGTCATTTCTCTATGACAGTTTGGAATGAGGTAATGAGTTGGCTCAAGTTCAAGTGGAGGACATGTAACTGGAGGATGCTTCTTGATTGGTATTGCAATAGATTAAGAGGGAGAGGCTTCAAATTGAAAGTGAAGAGAATGGCGCTGGCAGCAGTGGTATATAACATCTGGAAAGAACGAAACAATAGGATCTTCAACCAAAAGAAGAGAGCTCCAGAGCAGATAGTTAGAGACATAAAAATTGGCATATACTCTGTCATCCTCAACAATCCTCTAATGCCGAACGAAGACAGGGAGTGTTTCCTCTCCCTGTAGAGCTTTTTACAAATGTTTTATACTTTTGCTTTCTTGTTTTGTTTTTACAGTTACCAGATCCCATGAAAATCTGTGTAATTTGATGTACTTAACTTTACAGTTTTTGGTTTGTGAATAAAATCTTTCATTTACCAAAAAAAAAAAAAAAGAGAACAATGATTTTTTTAGGGTTATTTGCATATATATACCAGTTAAATCATGCATATTTGCTAAAATACCTTCTATATCTCGGTCTTTGTAAAATTATCCCTCAAATTATCAAGTTGAAAAAAATAACTTCAAAGCAATTAATCATTAAATTTAAATCATTAAATTTAATAAGATTTTAAAAGTCATATGTAAAAATTATCAACAAATAGTTAAATTTTTAGCACCAAGATGATGATTTGTTTGATTTTAGGGGTATTTTTTGCAAAATTGATGATTTGAGAAGTAGGTTTGCAAATACAAAGATTTGGGGTTCCTTTTGCAAATATTATTTAAGGGATACATTATTATATGCAAATAACCCAATTTTTAATTTGGTCACCTGTAAGGTTGTTAACGGAGCAGATACGGTTCGAATATGGCACTTAACATATCCATATCCGCTTTCTATAAACGAATACGGATACAGATACAGATTTTCTTCGGTAAGAAAAAAACATTAACCATATCCGCACTAATCGGAAATGGATACGGTTCGGATATTTAAGAATTGGATTGGATACGATCACAAATATGAAACGGATATTCGACAAATGGATATGAATCAGATATGAATTAGTACACCTATATATCTTGGATCTTTTCTTCTTAGTACATCTCGCAATGTGATTTTTAAGATGGGAAGTACCCCTGATACCACGTCCATCGGCTTCAAATAGGCAATGTTTGCATTTGGCTCTAATGATTTTGGTGACAACCTCTTTCCCATCAACTATTTTCTTTTCTATTTTATCTATTTTATCAAAATCTAATCACACTTCAGAATAACATCTTCTTTTCTTTTCAGGTTTTTAATCAATTTTACTTGAAGTTTCCTCAATCACGGGTTCAATAGTAGGTTCAACATTAGGCTTAACAGTTTGTTCTTCATTAGACGCTTGAATCGAAGGATTGGACATGATTTCTATTCAATGAAATTAAAAAAAACTTAATCAAAAATCTTATAGTCACATAAAACATATTGACAATGAAATTAAAACTAGAGTTTCGATTCGACCTTATGGAACAGACGGCGGATTTGAAGGAGGAATTAGGGTCGCAGAGGCGGCGGAGGGCGGCGAAGAGGAGGTGGGGTAGGAGGGGGGAGGTTGAGTGACTCGATGGAGCGGCTGTAGGAGTTCGGGGGCAGGAAGATGAGGCGGAGTCGCAAAGGGAATGGCAGCAGAGGGAGCACATGTCGGAGATGGACGGAGAGAGGCGGTGAGAGATCCAACGACGGGATCTGAAGGAGTGGTGGTGGTGAGATCTGACGGAGAGAGGCCGCAGGATCTGACGGAGAGAGGCGGCGGAGGACAAGGGGGGGAAGGGGGAGGTCGAGCGACTAGGGTGGAGGCGTGTGGCGTGTCGCGTTGAGAAATTGAGCAGAGACTAGAGAGACTGGAGTGGAGACTAGGGTTTTTTAGTTGGGTTTTGGGTTGGTTAGCGGTTACGGGTTTAGAACTTTGGATACCTATATGGACCCGAATTCTTTTGTTTATTGAATTGTGGATATTCGTATCCGCAACCGAATCTTACACTCATATCCGTATCCGGAAAAAAAAAAAGAACCAGATCCATATCTGAAAGCGTATCCGTCCGATTTTAAAAATGGCTTACCATATCCATATTCGTACGGATACGAATGAGGATCGGTTCGTATAAAACCGAACTGTTTGGCACCTTTGTCACCTGTCGATTTCCATGCTGAAAAGGCAATTGTAAGAATTTTTTGTTGGTGACAGGTGATGAGAGAGAGAGAGGGAGAGAGAGAGATGCGCATGAGAAATTAGTGAACAGAGAGAGAGAGAGAGAGAGAGAGTTCTCGGTCTCGGGAATCAGGTCACTGGGAGTCAGTACAACATGTGAATACGAGCACTCGTGAAACCTAAAAACGTTTGAGAGGTGCTGCTTTAATTGCTCTCGAATGCTCGCGAAGCAAACGCATGTCGGGTCTTCTTGACCCAAACCGGTACCACTTGGGTTTGGATCCATCGAACTAGATCCGAGTCAAGCGAATTCACAATACATTGCACGCGGACATATTTATTTTTGTATGCAATAATATTATTTAATAAAGTATTATAATTATTTTATAAGATGTTTTATTACGCTATCATTAAAAAAGTTAAGCTCTACTATTACTAGTAGTTATACTATTTATAACATTCATTTAATAGTTATTTTTAAATTAGCTTATTATTATGTTATTAAACAAATTGTTTAAGAGTATACTTATTAAATAATAATGTAATCATTAGTTTAAGTAAAACTATTGAAATAAATAAACTATTTATATTATTAAGTATTTATGCTATGTAAATATTTTATTATAACATTTATGAAATAATGGCAATAATTCTTAATATTACATGACTTTATTTATAAGATTATTAATAATTAATAATTATGTACAATAATTTATTAAATAGTTGTTTGTACTATTTTAATAATTAATAAAAATATAAATTTTATTTATTATTGTAAATTAATATATTCTAGTGGAGGATAAAATTTTTGGTGAAATGAAATGGTGTACAGTTAATGAGGGTTATAGATCATTATTTTTATAAATAATAGTATACTTGTGAATTGTCAAGAAGTGAGAGCGTAAAAAAAATCAAAAGGTTTGATATGGAAATTTTCGTTTATAAGCAGTTTAGACTTGATGTGAAGTAACAATGTGTTCAATAAATGCAGTTTATAAGGTGAAAGTCACTTATATTTTATTTGATAGAAAATGATTTTATATATCACATTTACGAATCATGTTTCTATAAAATGATACTGTTATAGGTTCATGTTTTTGCAAATTAATGTTTTGGTAATACTTCTAATTTATAGTAAGACTTTTAAATTGAAAGGGTAAAACAACTGTCAAAATATTAATAAATTTACAATATTATGAGCGCTGCAACTGTTAAGTATTTGTTTGTAAAAACAAGATAGTCCCACATCAAATACTTCAACATTCTTTTAGAGGTTTAAAAGTATTTAATGATTATTGGGCTTTGATAAATGGATCAAAGTATAGGCTTCTAAAACCGCGTGCGGGTAGCGTGAATAATGCGTGATTTTTGACGCGATTTTTAGATGCATTTAGCACTTTGCGGGCTTGTCGTTGGTGCTTAAATATTCTAACTTTTAATATATAAATTTTGAGTATATTATTTTAAATGTTATTTTGAATTTTTTGAAAATATGAATAGACAAGTGACTGTTCAGAAGTGTTTGTTTGTTCCAAATGGTGTTTTGAAAAGTTATGACTGTTGGAAGTACCTTTTCAAATCTATAAATAGTTTATGATTTCAAATATCTTAACTTCACTTCTTTGTCAAAACTTTTCTATTAAAAACATCTGTAATACTACAAACTTGTTTCATAGCGAATTAGTGGAAAATTCCAGAGTTGCTTGCTGAAATTTTCATTTTTTGTTGTATCCTGGAAAGAAAATTTGCATTAACCCAAAGCAACTTTGAATATCAAGTGGAGCAAATATTTGTTTAAGGAAAGTGTTTCATGCCTCAAAAATTCTCTCTCTTTTATTATTTTTCTAACAGCAACAACTGTGTGTAATGTTCAGTCGTGCATCGCAGTAAAAAAATGAGTTAATTCTCACTATATATATAGTTTGCAATTAAGAATTTTGACATGTAATCATTAATCAGATAACCCACAACATGATTGTTTGACAAACTAGTGTTGCCTTAATAAGTAAACTCTTCAGAGCTCAAACCTGGGTCTTGTTCAAGAACATATTAAAGAACTAAAAATTTCAACAAATATAGAGAAAAACTTAGCTTTTGCTTCATGGATAAAGAACAATTAGGCCTATTATCACTATCATACGCGTTCCCTAACAACTCTCAAATATAAACAACCTTAAATCCACGACTCAATCTAAACCTCGGATACCCAACGGTCACATGCCTTCAAAAACTACAAGCAACCGTGACAGCATTTAAACCAAAACGCAAGTCCTCTCCCTACTTATCCCGCGCCCTCCTCTCCTACTGCTCACTCTCACCCTCTACTAAACATACTCTCTCTTCTCCAAAGTCGAAAATATGGACAACATGAGAAAACCTCCTCCTATGAGGCCGTGGAAGAAGGGCCCTGCCCGCGGCAAGGGGGGCCCGCAGAACGCCACGTGCGAGTACCGCGGCGTCCGCCAGCGCACCTGGGGGAAATGGGTCGCTGAGATC